AGGGGCACCCAGTTATGCGTGCTTACTTGTCTGCTGGACTAGTTGTAGTTGGTGTTTGAAGGGTTAAATTGCACACAACCATTTTGTGTGCAAGACTTGCTTCAAAATGGCGCCACCTCCTTGTTCTGATCTACCACAACACTCCCCAACCCCCACCCCACTGGCTGAGGGGCATGTAAGAACCAGTTTCTGTAGGGGGGGGGGGCATTGTTGTAGGAGAAAAATACTCAAACCTATATATTGGCAGTGTGTGAACAGGATCTTCTAAATGTTTGATAATCTGTGAGCAGCAATTACTCCCTCTGACTGGTGCGTTTATGCAACCACCAGGTTTACTGTTCTGTTACCACAAGAAGTGCAAATCACTGAGCAACTTATCTGTGGTCACTGAATTTACTTAAGCGTGCAAAACAACATGTGCAAATGAATATGGAACAGATTTCTTACCAAGTCATACCATCTATACCTCTCAAATTTTAAACTTGCTGTCCAGAGGAGCAAAAAAGGTCCACTGAGTTAAAAGCGTCACTTGTGGGATTCAGTCAGCTTATTGCAGCTTGTGATTAAAGAAAGCTCTGGATCCTCTGAAATACTCAGTCTGTATCCTTTTCATCATGGTTTACTCCATAAATGTTTCTGTTAACCTGTACGTCTTTGTGATTTTGTTGAGTTTTTTTTCTCCATATATAGCTACTACTACTGCCAAACCGAGCACTGACATTTAGCTCAACTCTACATGCTGGAAACTGCATTTACCTGTACCCCCAAAAAATGCTGGAAACACTTTCCTCACACTATACCTCTACCCTGCTGTTAGTATGCTTGCAGCTCAGATGTTGAAGGCTCAAATCCCTAGACTGGCTGTAAAATACAGAATTGGGATAAAGAAGGAACACACACTTTCCCCCATTTTAAAACTTCCAATGGCCCCTCCCCATACAATGCAGAGCTGCCCGTGTGATACCTCAAAATTAAACAATACAAAACAAACATTGAAATAAATGACCCCAACCATAGCTGCTATGGGCACTTCTTAGATGTTACTAGAACTTGTGCTTGAAATAAGTGGGCTCTGCAGAGTCAAGTGTTAAAGGTTATGATTTGCCTGAAATGAACTAGTTTGTAGGACGTATCGTCCAACCATGTATGTCCTAAGGAAAAACTGCTTACAGCTGTTGTAATGGCAACAATTGTAGGCAAGGCAAAAACATACTGTCAGAGAGAGGTACATGCACGCCACAACTGCTAAAATGAACAGCATAAACTTTTGGACTCTCCCAAGGGCCTTGATAGTGTTGCGGTAGAATTTGAAGCAACTTTGCTGCAGTGGGCACACTCGGTATTGCTGCAGATGAAGCACAATGGCCAAAAAAAACTTTTCCCCTTACAAAACCATTAGGAAAAAAACATGCTGGATTTCATGCAATTCATGTATACAGGGACCCAACAGGAAGTGAGCTTCCTTAGTCAGAGGAAGTCTAAAATGTGAATGCATTAGTATGTATGCTCTTGAGACTTTCTCAGAATATGCACCCAGACAGCAACACTACAGATTTTCATAATACATAGGTAAGAGTGGACACTCGATTTCCTGTCATATTTTAATGTCCGCCCGAAGTACAGTAAGGTCCAATTCCCTTGAACAGACTTTAGGACCCCACTGTAGATAATCTTGACCCATGAGTAAGTACTCCAGTACTCTAGTCCAGTTCCTCCTTTGTTACTCAACCCGGCATTTTCTTGTGGATATTGAACCCATGGAGTCAGAAATCCCCCTGACTGCCCCTCAGATGATCCCTCAGTCACTCATTGCAGGCACCAATATTTTAATCCTGGGACATTTCATGATGGTGAGCAAGTGGATCCCAACTGGTTGCTCCAGAAAATGATTGAATAGATCCCTTTCTGTGTGCACACCATATATTCGCACCACACGCTTGTGGTTGAGGCTCAGCTATCTAATCTATTTGCATGTGCATTCATGTTGCAGTTTACATTTTTGTTTTGACTAAATCTTTAGCTAACTAACTTCATAAACACACAGGTGTCACAATAAAAATGAACATTCCTCACCGTTCTGTCAACTTGGCTAACTCTTCTGAGCTAGCCAAGTTAGCCTGAGTTTTGTGAAACCCAATGTGGACACCTGTACATCAGATACTGACCATGAACAAGATGACCAAGAGGGCCCTGTCCAATTACAGCAGTAACATAGACTGCAGCATTCATACAGGAATGTGCAGGGGCAGGTGGGATCCCCTAGGCCATCACGTCACTGAAACACATTGGCAATCCACATTCATTGGTGGGAAGTCAACCAAAATTGACTGGACACTTCAACTAGTAAGTATGTGCCATTTTGTAGATAGTCCTATGACAAGGCAAATATTTGAAGTTTGTTTTTTTGTACCTGAAAATTGCACAGAATTGCATGACACAGCCAACTGTACCTTCAATTGCATCTGCTTCACATAGGCCCTGTTCAGACCTGGCATTAACATGTGTCTTCAGTGATCAGCTCTATGTCATTTCACACCTGGCTTTAAAATACGTCTCCACATGTGTCTCGATTTACCACTTGTGATCGGATCTCACTTCCCTGCTTTGTATGAAAATTAACAGGTATTCGTTAATACGAGTCTGTTGTCAATGTGCTTGTGCATGTGAGTGACAGAGAGAGCAAGCGAGCGGGGCACAGAGGGGTTGAGCGAATTAATGCGCTGCCCACAGGTCTAACAGTGAAATAAAGTTTTATCAATTTGAAATAGTAAAATATTTTCCGTTCATTATGAAACTGTGGCGAATCACACTGTGGCAGAGGACGTCAGTAGAGTAGGCGGTACTTCAATGTGGCCCAGGACGCATTTATGCTCACACTGCTAAAACAATGTGGCCACATGTGGCATGGACCACCTCTGAATGTGGTCTGAGTGATGCGTCCTCAATTCATACCTATACTTAGAGCTGGCCGCTTGTGATCGGATAACCTGAGACCTGGATGTTAATGCCAGGTCTGAACAGGGCCATAGAACTACCTGCATACTTGGTATCTGTGTCTATTTTGGAGTAATTTATTGATTGGAACGTTGTCTGAGGTGTCCATACATACAATTTAAAGTGTGTATTTTACTACCAACTCACTATTCTGTATTGGACAAGAAAAAAGTCACTTACTTGCAACTTTCTGGTCCATTAATTCTGGCCTGGTCTTTTGAACAAGATTTTGTTAGATTAGCCTTGTTTAGAAGGAACACTGAACAACTATTCTCACAATGGGTGGTCTTTCTATGGCTACTCCTTCATGACAGAATCATGTGTGACCATGTCTCTTTTCTTTGCTTGTAACAATTTGTAATTGAGTAACCAGTTGAATTTCACAATTTAACTGAAGGGCATATGCATGTTTTCTGTCTATCAGATGTAAGGTCTACTTCAGAAACCCTTTCATGGTGTTTTGAAAACTGTCAGATGTGCTACATCAAGTATAACAAGCACAGAACTCATGCCTTTATAACAGTTAATTGCATTAATGTCTAAGGGGGTGGGCCAAGCACTAAAAGGGATAAAAAGCTCAAGAAAATCTTACTAGTCTTCCCTCTGGAGGATAAAATGTTCCCTGAGATGTAACAGACAAAAAGCAATAAAGGGCAAACAAAGGAGCCAGACAATTCTTAGGGAGATCCATGTGTTGCCATAGGAGTTAGAGGGTTGTGCCACAGAAAGAGGATTTGTAATGTGATTTGTTGTTTCTCAATGCCTTTTAATAAACAGTATTCTCTTTTTAACCTAATGGTAATATTGTGTGTGATATAATTTGAGCTCTTCAGCCAAGAAGAAAAGGCAGTAGTCACGGGAAATAAATTATCTTGCTGTTGCCCACATGCAATTGTGTAGGATATCAAATTTTTACAAAGCATTTCACTTGACCTATAGTTGACTGTGCAGGGCAGCATCAGAATGATTACAGACTTCATACAGGATTTATTTCACTCAGAGATAGGTAAAGATAGTATATAAAGGTTTGCAGTAGGTCTGGCAATTTTTTAACTGCAGACATGCAAGGCCCCAGGGAAAGGACTTCAACTATTACTTAAGTGTTTTTGGCATAAAGTTACGCTTGCTGTCCAAATAGTATGCCAAAAACATGCCTTGTCAGTACACATCTCAGCCACATGCTTCTAATTTCATGGAGAAAAAAAGCTGACCTCAGTAGTAGTAGGAGGCTGCCCACTTCAGCTTTCCATTATAGACTTCCATATTTGGAGTACACCACCTCCATACTATAAAACACATTTTGAATTTGTGGATTACTTCGTTTTAGACAAGAAATGTCAGCCCACTAGAGACAGCACTGGTTGCTATGCCCCCCCCCATAACAGTAGTTTGTTATGTTAGTCCCTGGCCAAATTGCCATTGCGATGAACTTCTGTATGGATATTGTTGCCAGAGGATGATTTCTAATTACTCTCAAAGCCACCTCACCTTTCATCTACTACCACCAACAGGTTCAAATTTAACAGTGATGACCAACACTTTGAAAAAAGTCCATGAAAAAAGTATAAAAGAACTGGTCTGTGGTTCTGTCAGTCATGAAATACCCAGGGGATCAGCCATGTTCTGGGGCTATTTAGTGCCCACACTTCCATAAAAGCCTTTTTAAGACTACCACTAGGAGTTTCCAAAGGCAAATTTTCAATAAGAGCTGGAAATACCAATACTGTAACTGGACTGACCTTATTATGAAGCGCACCCATGTGTCACAAAAATCTCAACCTTGCTCAGTATCAGTTAAATCCAGCAGATATATTTGCCTACATTTCTCATCCACAATTTGTAACTCCCCATTTAATCCACTCAAGGATTCCTCTCTGTGCTGTTGCCTTTAACTTGCCATATCAGAATTCCATAAAAATGTGAAATATGACACCTAAACTACATATAGAAGAAAAAAATATGTTTTAATTGGGGTTTCTTACTATTAGAAAGAAAATCAACAGCTCTCAATTTCTCTGTACATTTTAATGGCACAATTAAAAATCTACTCAGTGACAAGGCTATCCTTTAAAAAGGCAGATATACAAGATATATTAAAAAAAATCTCAAACATATTTGCAAGACATGAAAAATGCAGCAATTACAACTGACAATAACAGCATGAGTAGCCACAAAAAAATAATACAATAAAAAGCAATATAATTATCCTAGCTAGTCAACACTATGTGGGACTGCAATTAACTACAACCATAGCCTGTGGAAAAATACTACATTTAAACTTGCATTTTACCCATGTCAGACATATGTTGTAGTTGAGTCCATTTTTTTGAAGTTTATTGTGAGATCAATTCAAAAGTCATTTGGTATGCTTCTCACCCAAGCCTTACATCTTGCTTCCATTGATTTAAAATCCGCCAATTAACAGAATATTTCTCCTCATGACGGAGGAAGTGTATAAAAGTAGTTATGGAAAGTAACCATTACAAACAAATTTTACATCAATCCGTAACCTATACAGTTATTCAAATATTTGCATTCAAAAGAGTCAAAAACAACTCCTGAGAGCTTGATTGTTGGCAATAACAATGACTAAAGGTCTGACATGATAGTTACCCGTTGTTTTCTGAGCCATGAGAGGTCTGGTGCTGAAGAAAGGTCTCCAAGCATGAAAATGTCTCAGTGCACTCTGTGCATTCATAAATAACCTCTGAAGAATTTCCTTTATCATTTTGAGTATGGTCCATGTAGTCATCCTCTATGTCCTCTGCATTGCCCTTTTCTGAGACAGGGTTCCCATTGGTTCCACTGCGGTGAGAAGTCTGTCCAACATCATCTGCTTCTCCAGTGCTTGGGTGATTCTGAAGGTGAAGCTCAAGGGATGAAGAATTCCTGAATTGAGCTGGACATTGGGGGCACCTACTAGGTTCCTTTTTGTGATACCGCAAGTGCCGTTGGTACACACATAACAGTCCAAATCGCTTTCCACATTCCTGACACTTGTAGTTAACTCGCCCTGCTTTTCCTGATTGTTTCCCCTTTGGAGTCTGCTCTGGTGATGTGGTTTGTTCATTGTCAGAGGAGCTCTTGGTTTTCTCGTCAGGAGAACTTGGGTTTTTCTCACCATTAAGAGGATTGGGGATAGGTCCATTTTGTGGAGCTGTATACAAGTGTTTCAAACCTGGTTTCTTTTCCAATTCAACTTTGTGGTACATCGCTACATGCCTTCTCAAATCACAGCGCTGTGGAAAATGTCTACCACAAAAAACACATGTGTGCATAGTACCCTTATGGTATCTCATATGCCGAGATAAACTACTAGAATGATTAAATACACGATGACAGTGCTTGCAAGGATGCAGCTTGCCATTTGGATTACTTCCTCTTCTACGTCTGCCTTTAGGTGGCATTCTCCGCTTAAAGGTCTTTTGTGATTCTTGATTCAGCTGATCTATTTCCTCCTGAGTTTGATGTGTGAGATGATGCTCTTTTAGAGCCGTTAACTTTTGGAAACGATCCCCACATAAACCACACCTGTATGGTGTGAAAGAGTATTCTGTATCAATGTTACCACTAGTATCCCTAAAGATTTTAGTATCCCCATTCTTGAGATCAATAGATGTGCCATTTCTGTGGCAGTTTTCAAGTGGTACATGTAAGTTTTTAGAGTTCACTTCAGTTTCGATTTCAGATGCAAAAGTAGCATCAGGCTCTTTTCCTTTGCAATGGTACAGTGAATGTGTCTGAAAATCTGACATCCAGAAAAAATTAAACTTGCACTTCCTACAAGGATATGTTTTCTCAAACTTTTTTTCCTGCTTATTCTCTGATTTACGCAAAGCTGTAGCTTTGGGGGAGAAGTGGTTCTCTTTTTGATGAGCATTTAGTGCATCCACTTTAAGGAATCGCTTACCACAATGATCACAGCAGTGAAACCTTTCATTAACATGGTCCTGGAGATGTTCCTTAAGGTCCTGTCTACCTTCAAAGATCTTACAGCACAAAGTACACTTGTAACCTCGCTCTGTGTTTCGATACTGCTGGTGACGATGTAAACTCTGTAGGCTGTTGAATGATCTGCTACATATTTCACAACGGTAATGACCCTGACGAGACTTGTCCAAAGTCAAGTCAGATGGCCTTGGCCTGAACACATCTCTGTAAGGGGAAAGCTGTGGCCTTAAAGTAGGAGACACTGGTTTAATAGGGGGTATGTAATGTGATGGCAGGACTCCTGGAGATACTGGTTTCACAGAAGAATGTGATTGTGCCAAGCCATTCACAACTGTCAATGTACCATTTTCTTGTAGCACATATTCTCGGGGGACTTCAAAGCCATTGGATGAGCCATCAAAGGAAAATGACTCCAAGGGTCCATGAATGGCCATGTGGGCCAGCACATTAGAGTACTGACTGAACCCATCACCGCACTCTGTGCAGATGAAGGTACTTGATTCTCCACCCAACTGTGCTGAAGCAACACTATTCACTGATTTCTGCTTTTCCATGATGATATTTTGTCCATGTGCAGATGGCATCATTTTTCAATCTGCAAGTACAAGTAGAATTCTATCCAGACACCCACAAAATTGGTCTCCATGTGGGAATCAATATGTCCACTCTCTCGCAAGAGACTGGTTCTACAAAGATGTCCTTATGAGTCGTAAGTTGACCTCTCTTCTGAAGTTTTCCATGTTGTATCAGCACCTGAGGGGATTAAAAAAAAAAAAAAATCAAAAAAAAAAAAAAAAAATCACACCACTGAAGCCAAAGTTTGTTTTACAACATTTAAAAACATATGCCAGATTACTGCTGGATGACTCAGACTGCCGCTACAGGTTTAACCTGCCTAAATGTGGCTGGAAAGGGGTTTTAGATTGACTGTCTACCAGATGCAGCTGTTTGGCCAAGTAATATCTGTTATGAGTGAGTACTGCCATATTCAAGTGCCCAAGCAAGGTGACATTGTCATGAAATTTCTTTTATGTAAAATGCATTCAATTTGATATCTTCTGTCTGTTTTGATCCCAGCAGAGCAACGACTGTCTCAAACCAGCTAGTCAGTTGTTGTCCCTTACAGATTTCTAAACACTTGAGAGCTTGCCCACATCACAGTTTCCCACACACTCTACTTATTCACTGGAAATCTGTTGGCACAATTTCAGCCCTCCTCATTTTGGATCAAAGTACCTCATCTGACCACCAGGGAGACATCAATCTGGCAGCAATACTGACCTTAATAAGCTGATCAGGTATTGCACTTACTTTGTCTATGCCGTCATAAAATCCGTTGCTGCCAACTCAATTTTCAGTGCCACAGCATTCCCTGGCCCCATGTTACCACAAACATACATGTTTTCAATGAATTCTATATAGGAACATAAACACATTTTAAATTAAGAAAAAGAAAAAGATAAAAAATATATATATATACATATATATATATATATATACACACACATACACATATACATATACAATGTCACCTTGCAGTCAGTCTACTTTGGTCAATCCACTTCAATTAAAAGCAATGATGCAAGGAACCTGCCTGCCTCTGATAAACAGGCATTTTGTATTAGCGGTGGTTTTAGACATTATGCAACCAACGACTATACTAAACCAAAAAATATCATGGTGAGAGTGTGCAAGAGCGATTGAAGACTAATTGGTACTCATTTTACACATTGTAATGCTTACCAGCTGTTGACCAGATGCTTCACCAGTAGGTTTATGGTGTAGATGACACCACAGTTGAAAAACAGACATATCCACATGCTCAACATAATCGAGGCTGTAAAAAGGTGCCACTACCAAATATTGGCTGGAGGTGAATGCATATGCAATCATAGGGTTTGTGTCTGGAAGTAGTTTAACAGTGACATTTTGTCTTTGTATACAGATTATCTGCTTCTTCTGAAACGCATTGGTCTCAGACTTAATTATGTACAAGTGTTATTGGAGTTTTGACAATTCACCTGTGATTGGAGTCTTGCGCAACTAATGTATTACGCCCAGAACACACTGCCTGCAGTGTGTATGTGTGTGGCCACTGCAGCCATGCTGTGGCTCGCATGGGTGTTCAGACCAGCTGCGTGTCTGCTGTGTAACTGTTACTGCAAGTTTTCTACATAGAATTTGCAGCCTACTCAAATGTTGGATTTTTTTTCATTATAAATCAATTTGTGACTAAAATGCCAGTCTCCACATGCAGTCGCCAGTCTCCATCTTTATTAGGACAGTGGTGAACAGCACTGGGGCTCCACAGGGGACTGTACAGGTTCTGTTCATGTTTATCTTGTATACGGTGGACTTTAAATACAACTCTGAGTCTTGCTACATCCAGAAAAACTCGGATGACACAGCTATTGTGGCGTGCATCAAGTAAGAGGCGTACAGGGATCTGACGATGGCCTTCAGTGACAAGCACCGCCTCCTTCTGAACACCTCCAAGACCAAAGATATGGTCATCGACTTTCAGAGGTCTAGGCCCACCTTTCATCCAGCTGACATTCAAGGGAAGGACATTGAAATGGTGCACACTTACAATATACATGGTTGTGCATCTGAACTGGTCCCTGAACACGAATGCCATCTACCGGAAGAGGCTCAGGTCCTTTGAGCTGAGTATTCATTTTTCTCTGTTGAAAATTTAAATTGAGCCCCAGCTGGTTGCTGCCATGTAGTGAAATTCATTGCATTGCTGCAAGACACACTGCACAACACAACCTTGATACACACGTTAGATTGATCAGATTCCACGTGATTGACAAAATTCTTAATGATAAATTATTGATTAATCATGCCCACCCCTAAAATGCACTGTGGACATACACCACACTTCAAAGAAAATTTCTTTAAATTCATAAATATTCTGGAGCTAACCCCAAAATTGAATGGATTCTTCCCTGGCCCATGCCATAGAAATAAACAATAAACCATAATTGCATAATTTTACATGGAGCCTCCATCCTCCATGACCGGAACTTTGGAAATAGGAAGTATACTACTTCTGGCTTCAGACAATGCTTCTATAGAATGGCCAAGCTATCCTCTTGGCTTTTATTTTGAAATATTTATCTTTATCTGTGTCACCCAATTACACCTTTCTTCATTTTTCAATTTGACAAGGAAAAATGAAAAATAAATAAATTTTGCCACCACCAGAATTGAACCATTTATTCCAATTTGATGTTCTTGTTTTCCTTTTTAATTCTGACAACAGAAATGTAAAAAACTACATTCAGTTTTTAAGTTTTTGGTAAAAAAAAAAAAAAAAAAAAAAAAAAAAAACTTCAAATCTATCTATCATGAATATATAGCTTTGATTTGAAATCAAATGAATCAATAGATTTGAACATTTATTGAAATGAAACCATGTGAGAAGTTTCGACAGTGATGCAGCTGCCACAAACATGCAATGCAGGCAGTGTGTTCCCGGCGTAATGCCGCTGTCTGTCCCTGTCTGTAGTGACTAATCTATGGTCTGGAGCAGTATCCTGCCCACAGCACCATCTGATTGGTTACACTTCACAAGTAATAGCCTATCAACGCTGAAGGCTACTGTGTACCCAAGTGGGCACTGACTAGAGCAACTCCTGTGAGTGAGTAGAGCTGTGAGTCAAAGAAAAGGCAGCAGACATCACTGAAGTTGTAATAAATATCACAATCCTCTATGCTGAAGCTACAAAACACCACTCTCTTAAGATTGATGACACATCAAGCAAGAGAGAGCAGATGAGAGGGAGAGAGAGAGAGAGAGAAGCCATTGCTAACTGCTAAGTAACTAGCAGATATGAATAGCATGTAAACAACTGCTATGAATGAAAGTCTCTAAAAGCAGCAGAGAGCTATGAGTGCTTGAGCAAAACAAGTTTAAATGTACAGCTGGTAGTTAGTCACTGTAATGACGAAAACAGCAACATGAACTGTTCGGATAGAGCAGCAATAAACGCAACTAATAAAAACTCCAGCAACTGGAGATGAGATGCTAGACTGACTGCAGCATGTCAGCATGTGAACAGCCACTCACTACTGTTACTTGAAAGAAATTTTACTCAGGTATAGGGGTGGGCGATATGACGATATTAGATCGTGAAGGATTACAACGTGAAGACGATCTTTCAAACTGCAGAGATCGTGGGATCGTCTAGGGCACATTCTATAAATTGCAGTTCTATGCTGATGCACCGACGCACCAGACGTATTGATGTCGTCAACCTGACCGACCAATCATAGCGAATTACGGGCAGTGACGCGCTTTCCTACCCGTCTACTTGTTTGTGTGTGTAGCGGTAGCACATGGAGAGCGATGGCTGAAAGCCAAACGGAGTTGGTCGCTAAAAAGAATTCCACCTCCATTATATGGAATTGGTTTGGATTTTCCGCAACTGATCAAGCGCAAGCAAATGTAATTTGCAAAGTTTGCACAGAAACCGTTCGCACGTCGGGTGGTAACACGACGAACCTGTTTAATCACCTGAAGAGGAAGCACTAAAGCACTAGCACTAGCAACTGTTGCACTAAAAGAGATAACCACAGTCACTTTAGTTTGTATTTTTGCGTTTCAATAAGCTATTTAGTGTTTTGATAAATAAATCCTGTTTAAATGACTGTCAGTAATGTCTTTGATTGATATTTTACTTTGTTACTACTTTTGCAAGAGTGCACTTTATTAGGATGTTGTTGTTTACCTTAAACTTTACGTTGTTTGCACATGCAGGCAAAACTGCGACTATTTGAAATAAAATCTGTTAAGAAAGGTTCTTTGGTCTAAATTGTCTGTTTTTCTGCTTCCAATTTAAGATCGTGATAAAATCGAAATCGTGATTTTATTTTTAAAAAATCATGACATGATATTTTTGCCATATCGCCCACCCCTACTCAGGTAGAAATAAAATTTCTGTGTAAAAATGTACTTGGCTAAACATTCAAAGTGAATCAGGGAGTTAAAATGGAGGGAGGAAGGGGAGGGGTAAAATATTTTATATGGTGATAATAGCATATCATAAAACTATTAAACCAGCTGTATCAGTACCCAGATGAGGACAGCACTGAAAATGCAGATGCACAATGCAGCATCATGACAAAATAATCAGAAGATTTGGACAAACTGAAGATGATGTTGTACTCTGTTTAATCTTATTGTACCTGGCAACACACACAAACCTGCAAACTAGTTAGGGGTGTTGAGATTAACAGATACACATTTTCAAAATTCCAGCACGAGACAAAAAATACACGACCACAGATCCAAATAAAAATTCTGAGTGCAATCTACTAAACACACCATATGCAAATTTAAAGTCCTTCTTGGTACACCTGGCCCTGTAGTATGCATGGGCATATGTGACCCATTAATGTGGGTAATAATCTACTTCCACTTGCTTATAAAGATTTAAATTAAAATTCAACATGAAGAAAATGAAAATGCTACCATATACAACACAGCCATCCACACTGACAGTAGTGTGCACCTTGCCACACACACACACACACACACACACACACACACACACACACACACACACACACACACACACACACACACAGTAATTCCAGTCTCTGCATTGATTCAGAAAAATATATTTATGACTTATTTCTGATTTATTATTTTTTGCAGGGATTTTGAGCAGGGAAGTTGAGCCACAGAACTGGTGAATATGTATAAAACATAAAAATTATGGTTTGCACCTGCATCCGTATCACAAAGCTGAGGAGTGAAACTTAAAAGAGCAAACTCCTGTTCTCTGGTAATTTTTTGTAGTGATATCCCCAGGAATCAAGTTGAGCCATAGAACATATACGTGTTTTATGGAGTCTCAGCCAAAATTCAAATATTAATGATGAGTAAATCATGTGGAAGAAATAAATAATTTAGAATCGTGATACTGTTATGAACCTTTATCACTATGTCTTGTCGTGCACAATTCAGTCAATTCGGTAGACATCACCGGACCCCAATAGGGATGTCCCAAAAGGGATATCCCAAACCAACCGGCAGCATCAGTATCAGGGCTGATCCAGATATTTATTTGATTTATTGAAACAAAGCCCATAGTACTGAAAACAATGGAATCACAACCACAGTGTTGTGAGCAAATGAACCACATAGTGCACATATGTGGCCGGCAGTTTCAACTAGAGAGATGACAGCCAGTATCAGTTGTTCTGTAGTATTTTCAGTCTATTTTAGCAATAATTGCAGGTAAAGCATACTTCTAGAGTGCTGCTGTTGTTTGAAAAATGTATTTTAACTTCAGTAGGGCATTTAGTGATGAAGACAAGAAGTTTAGATCCTATAGCCTTATGCTTCTTCCCACAGATTATACAAATGTATAAATATAATACAAATAATATATTAGTGGCTTCCCATCAAGGAAAGAGTAAAGTGGTAATACTTTCTTGATGTCAGACTGATCGTTTTGAAAATTTATTTTAATGATGGCATAGTGTAGTCAAGGTATTCACTATGAATTGTATTGCAAAGAAAGTAAAAACTATATATATATATATATATAAAAATATATATATATACACACTAAAACCTTTATCAAAGAAAATGAAAATGAAAATGAACAAAAAGTAGCTTATGATTACAATTTCGAAAGAGGACAACCGTTTGGGGGATAATGCTATAACCACGATATAAATTCAAGGTTGTCTACGAATTAATTATGCACAGACTTCAGTCTATGCTCAGAATTTCACATTTACCGTGAACAGTGTGTTTAAAATGCAGAAGCATGCCGACAGAGGGCGACTGAATGCTTCACTAGCTGCATCTATTGTATTTAGGGAGCGGGCTAACGCTAGCCTACTTTGAAAAGCTAACGTTAAATTGTACAGAATGTGTGCTGCGAAGGCTCCTTGAAAGACTTAAGGCTACAGACAGGCATGAAGTATGAACAGCCCACAAATTGTATCAACGTAATGTCTAGCTGTGGGCTAATACTATAGTCAGGCGATATCTAACGTTAGCTGCTACTAGCTAACGTTTCATAGCAATGGGAGACCTGTGATTGCCACACAACAGACATTTAAGTGTCAACCAGTTTCCTCAAACAGTCAACTTAGACACAACTTACCATGAAATCGTTTACGTCTCAGGATACTGTGAATGTCATTTGCAACGTCCTGCTAGTTATGCTCTGTGGTCGATGACTGCTTACTGCTGCAGGCCGGGGGTTGTCTTTCCCCCGAGCTTCTTAAGATGGTAACGACTATGACATCATGACGCATGCTGCTTACGTTTGTGGCGTTTTTACAAAAATGAAAACAAAAACAAAAAACCTTGTAATTTGTCCCTGTAAATAACACATTTAACTTTATATTTAATTTTTAATACCTTAGAAGACAAACAAATGCATCAACTAACAAATTAAAAAAAACAATAGTAGCAAAATCTTTTAATACACAGTTTCACAATTTAATTTTATTAAATGACAGGATTATAAAAATATTTTATATACACCATTAATGTTATCTTGTAAAGAATGAAGAAGAAAAAGAAAAGTAATGTTGATCACATCCAAACTATTCTGCTAATAAAATATACACATTTATTGTAAATACTTCCTAACTGATCATAATAATATAGAATAATGTACTTATAATCTTATGAAGAATATTTACACAACCGCAACATTCAGGGTGATTAACTGGGGGAAAATTTCTACACAGATCAAAAGAGGAAATTACAAAGCAAGACCTACGTACTAAAAACAATCAGCAAACAATGGTATCTGTGGGGACTGTTATGTTCCTGTGTACAGTTTTTTTTCATGTGTTAATAATAGAGGAAGCTGGGTTGAATTGCGTGCAAAGCAAAAGTGGTTTATCTGGGGACTATGCTGTGGAAATAAGCTTGCTACAAGCCTATATGTGCAGTGGTTCAGACATAATATTTCACAATGTAGATTCATTCTCTTCCATAAGTTTTACAGTCTACTATAATCTATAAAGGTACAATGTTCATTGTCAAATTACTATTATTACTATCGGTCAATTAAAAAAAAAAATTTACCTTCCCAAGATGTTCAGCTGTTTACAGTAAAGTTTACAGTTAATTCTTGTACATAATAGCATTCTCTGAAAGTGCTGTAATCATGTCTTTTTTCTCCCTGATTGCATTGCAGTTTACAGCATGGCACTGTATTACATTAATACAGAAGAATGCTTTTCAGATTTCACTGTAAATTTACATCAAAGGTTTACAGTGTAGGGACAAATAAAGCAATGCACTTAACAGGTGAAGGGTACATAGATTTTAGATATATTTGTCAATGAAATCTTATTTTTTATTGCTTGTTTTAAACAAATCAACACAATTTTTTTTTTACTGTGTTCACTTAAGCACATAATCGACCTGTGTGAGGATTAAATATTTTGGTCTGTGAAAATGTACACTGAATTGAAAAAAAACAAAAACAAGACAAAAACTTGAAACAAGTTTTATATTCATTCATATTCAACATTTGTTATAATTATTTGTACAGTTTCAGAATTTGTCTCTTCATGTCATGGACAACCTTATACCTCAGTATTTAGAGCTGATATGCCATTGCCCTGACTTTTGTCCACTAACTTTGTATCAGTATGAGAGTCTGTTCTTAATGGAAGACTGTTTCCTGTACATTCAGGATGGATTTGATCCTTTACGTCTTGGCACATGAAGACATACAGCGGTGGGTTTAGGCAACTGTTGAGGTGGTTATAGGCAGACCAATATAGAAGACATAGCCTAATGTTTGAGAACCCGTGTGATGAACCAACTCTGATAGACGCATGATGTGAAAAGGAGCCCAGCACAGGAAAAAAGTGGTGATAACGGCAGCAATGATCTTTAAGGGGTGACTCGACTGGCTGGACAGGGTGCGGTTCCTCCTGAGACGATGGATTATCACAGCGTAACCGGAGACAATGACAGTGAAGGAAACAACAAGTCCCAGGAGGAAGTTGGTGATGGCCACTGCCTGATGACGAAACTGTCCTGTTTGAAAATCATCAGAAAGAGTAAAGTTGTTGAAGCAGCGGATGTTGTCTTCACTATACGTTAAAGTATCCCTGAAGACAAAGTATGGAGTCCAGATGAGGATGTGTCTACAGCCGAAGTGACTCTAGTCAAACTATGACAGATTAATAAAAGCTGTGATTCCTGAAATATGTCAAGTCAGCACCACATTGAAGTGGAGACCACCTGTCAGACACTTGCACACTTACACATACTTTTGATGCTAGTCTTTTAATGCTTCTAATATGAAATTCCATAAAAATATAAATCAAGATTTTGTAAACAGAACTGTTAATCTCACTCAAATTAAAACTGAAGTCCACTTTTCACTTTTAAAAAGTATCATTACTTTAAAATATCATCATTATTTCTATTATCATTATTATCAATTAAACTAGATTTTCTGGTTTGCTGCTAAGACACATGCCAATGATCTGTAATGTCATTCAGAAGCTATAGGTTTGTATGAGACTGTCCTTTAAAAACAGGTATGTAGTCAGGGCCCTAGCCAGGATTCAAGGATTGCTGAGGTCACAAGTTTACCCAAAAGACCAAAAACAAGCATGAGCCCATTTCTATGTGAATTTGTCAATATTTGTATTTAAACCTGAGACCACCAGGTGGAGCATCCTTCTTTTGAGCTAAATGATCAGGTTTTAACCATGCCTCAGACTATGCCCAATTTTAAGTTTTTTTTTCTTTTGCTTGATCTCTTATGAGGACAAAACAATGCTGCAACATCGATGATTGATGAAGTGTTCACATATATTTTATGTAAATTAAATTTTCCAACATGGCAGACTAAATGTTGTAGTGCTGTTTCAATTCTTTGTCCACAATGGCTGAAATGGTCAATCCTTTATCTATGAATTAATTAATTTCCTAAATTTCTTCCCCCCTGGTCATAAATAAAGTTTTATATTATTCATTTATTGGTCTGAAAGTACTTAAATTCAAATATATACCAATAGGATACCATCCATGTTTTCAGTGTAGAATGTAGCTACACTGCTGAATCTGATACTGAAGAAAACACATGTAAATAGACAAAACACAAGAAAATTCAGAAAACATCTTCATCAATTGGACAACACATGTGCTGCAAATACTCACAAGACAACAAAATTGTTTCTGGTGGACACAAAAAAGTGATAGGGGAGGGCCTCCCTCATAACAGGAGCCAGTGGCTCACCTGGAAGAGTGCTTATACAATGAAGTTATAGTTCCAATCACAGCGGCCCAGGTTCAAGTCCAACCCGTGGCCTTTTGTTGCATTTCATTCTCTCTCTCTCTTGCCCTGTCAATATCAGAATAAAGGTAAAAAACAAACAAACGAAAAGAAAAAAGGTGATGAACCTGGCTGGGACACACTTGCATGGATCTATTTTAATACATACATGTGCACTTGTTGCTCAATGCTTTTAACTTCAAAAGTCACAAGGTATTGAACAAGTGCATACTAGCCAGGTTCATCACTTTTTAGTGTCCCCTGGAAACACTTCCGTTGTGTTGTGAGTATTTGCAGAACCTGCTGTCAAATTGATGAAGCTGTTTTCTGAATTTGTTTGTGTTTTGTCTTTTTTCATGTGTTTTCTTAAGTTGCAGTGCATTGAGCTCTCATGGCCACTGTGGATATCTGTTTTCTCCAAATTCCATTTATAATATTCACTGTATCACATTTCAACAAAGTATGAACATCATTTATAATTAATTCAGGGTTTTATAGGCTATTCCTTCTTTGCCACTGCACTTGAAAGCTGGACACGTAGACTATACTGCATCAGGAGATCCAAGGTCTGAAGTAAGAATATATCTTTTTCTAACATAATATTAGAATTTTAGGGTAATTTCCCAGATCTAGATTAGTATTCCTTTCTGTTAAGATCCTGTTTTGCAGTCTTAATCAGAAAATCCTATGAAGTTCATCTACCTGGATAAGAGTTTTCAGTTAAAAATATTCTTCATACAGAGGTCACCACAACCATTACAAGTATAATTTAGGTAAGGATTAGTGTTTTAAAGTATTCTTTCCCCGTGATGAAAGAAACTAAAAATGGACATCTGTTTCAAAATAGCACATTTAATATCAGACAAATATAAGATACATGAGAAATACAAATATTTCATATATACATACATAAATACATATACACAAACACACACACACACACACACACACACACACACACACACACACACACACACACACACACACACACACAAATATACATATATCATTAATGGAGCTCATTAGAACACACACACACACACACACACACACACACACACACACACACACACACACACACACACACATATATATATATACTGTATATAAAACAAAAACAGACATTTATCATTAATGGAGCTCATCGGAACAATTGGACATAATGAAAGCTACTGTTAACAGATGACTTTAGGATCAAATGTATCTAAAATGTTAATATTTAATTATGATTAAATAATGAGGTACCCACTTCCTGAAAATTGTGCAAGTATAAGAGCATCATTCCTCTTCCTGGAAGGCAGTCTTCAATACATTCAGGATGGATTTGCGGGCTTTATCCTTAAAATCTTGGCCCATGAACACATACAGCAGTGGGTTCATGCAACTGTTGAGAAAGATCAGGCTGGTGGCTATAGGGGCACCAATAGAGAGGACATATCCTAATGTTTCACTTCGATTAGTACTTGTGAAATGAACCAACTCTAATAGACGCATGATGTGAAAAGGAGCCCAGCACAGGAAAAAAGTGGTGATAACGGCAGCGATGATCTTTAAGGGGCGACTTGACTTGCTGGACAGGGTGCGGTTCCTCCTGAGACGATGGATTATCACAGCGTAACAGGAGACAATGACAGTGAAGGGGACAACAAATCCCAGGAGGAAGTAGGTCATGGTCATGAACTGAAGACGTAACTGTTTCAGCTCAATCAAAGATGCTGTTTTATAATCAACAGAAAGAGAAAAATTGTTGAGGCAGTTGACGATGCCCGCATTAAAATATGATGGTGTAGTGTTCCTGAAGACAAAATATGGAGTGCTGAGAATCAGAGCCAGTACCCAAACACCTAGACTCACATAAGACGCCTTGCGTACATTTCTGTGGTTCTGGGCCCAGACAGGCCACACCACAGACACACATCTGTCCACACTGATCACCACCAGGATGTAGACACTGGCAAACATGTTCAGAAAGGTTATGGTGGTATGAAGTTTGCACATTAAGTGGCCAAAAGGCCAGTGGAAATCCATGGCTAAGTAAGTCACAGTCAGGGGCAGGCATGCTGTTAAGAGGAAGTCGGCCACAGCAAGGTTGAGGAACCAAACTGTGTTAACTGTTTTCTTCATCTTGAACCCGGTCACCCAGATAACCACTCCATTCCCGAGCACACCAAGGATGAAGGCCAGGCAGTACCCAATGACAGACATGATGTTAAGAGACTTTCTCAGCTTAACAAGGTTGTCATAGAACGTGTCATCCTCATTGTCATGAAAAGAGTCTTTTTCACCATATAAATCCGTTGTACTAATTTTCTCTATCATTGTCTTGAGATGAGCCTGTGATAGAAAGATGAAAACAATGTTTTTTTCTATTTTTCCTAAAGCTCAACAACAACGACTTCTGATACAAGAGAGCATTGCTTTTAATATATCAGATTACCAGATGGACAGTAGCTGAACTGTGCTTCTTTATAAAAATATTTATATACTTAGAAAAGTAGCAAGGTATCTGAAATATAGATGACTAGATGACTAAAGCAGATGACTTTTGCCTTATAGGTTTAATTAATACTTGTATCATTAAATTCCACTGAAGGTGTTTGTCACAGTAGATAAAATCAACATCAGCTGTCTTTATTGTCTTATTTTTTTTGTCAATACAACCCCCTCAGATTAATCTCAAATTAATGCAAATTCAAAGGATAATATATAACAACAATACCTTTCTCAAAGTTCCTCAGCTGGATGAGGATGTGTCTACACCAGAAGTGACTCTGGTCAAACTCTGTCTGGTTAATAAAATATGTGTGTCCTGAAGACTCATATGTGTCAAGTCTCCACCACATTGAGGCGGGACCACATGTAACACAGCAATTCTGCAACATTTGTAAGTAAGTCCCTAAATTGTATGAGTTTAAAGTTTGTAAGGTGACATCTGTCAAATAGAAATGTCAACAGATCCTAGCTGTACTGACCCTTGAATTGAAAACCACGTTTTAAAAAATATTTGGTGTGAAGTGAATTTTTTAAGCCCAACCTGCATGAATACCTCAGCTACTGAGAAAGAGCTGGTGCTGTGACTTCTCATGTCTAACAATGAACCTGCTACATCATGTGGATTGAAAAAAAAGTTAATTTAAGTTGACAAGATACAGTTAATGTGTTAATGTACGGCTAAGTACCACCCCAGCCTAACTTTCGGCCAGGAAAAACCCTGTAGCCTGCTCCCTCTTTGCCACTGTACACTTGACAATGAAAATGTTGACTTTGTAGATCCAAGCAAAAGAGATCTGACGTAGGAATTTATCTTTGTCTAACATTTTATCCTCTTATTAGTTTAAGATGAATTTCACAAGTCCCTGCTATGTAGATGTTCTTTCCTGTTTTGCACTCTTAATCAGATTTCCTTTGAAATTTAGAAACACCTGAGGTGCAACTGCTTTTTTCAGTTTACAAACAACTTAGTTGAGCAAGCACAAACATTTCCCCAACACTACTGGCAGTACTTTATTATACTTTTCATATACAAAATTACATTGTAAAATTATATAGAAGGCCTGATTCAATGTGTTCAAACTGTCCAACCATTTCACTGATAAAATTGAGAAATTTACCATAAAATTTAACAAGAAAGGAAAGGATATAAAAATTAATTTTGTACAAAAAGCCATCTCAAGATACACTTTATTTTCCTCTAAGGTTTTGGTCCTGGGTTTGAGAAGGGCCTGTTCCTGCAGGCATAATTAGTGGACGTTGTGTAGTTAAATATGTACAGCAGCTCCCTCTGCTGGTCAATACATATTATGAAGAAAGTTTTTAATAATAATTAGACTATTAATATCGCCGGTAAATCCTGTATCTACAGCTTGTAGTAGTATATGATACTAGAGAAGGAGATTCCAGACACAAGCTTATGTGAAATTATGTGGTGTTAATGAGGCAGGCATGTTCAGGCACAACTGCAATAACAGTCATTGTCATCATGATTCAAATACAGCATCAAATCAAATACATTAGAAAGAAGTTTTTATGAACATGTTCATGCCGCATGTCACAATATTCATATCCACAGTCTAACACATGAAATAAATGTGCCATTCCATTTTTAATATGTTATCTGACAGTTAAGGAGTAATGGGCACCATAAGCCCGGTGAACCATGCAGCTCCTACATTATAAACATTATATCTATCTATTATATCGACATTATATAAGCACCATGTCACCATGTCACTGCTACCAGAGTGTTCACCCATGTGCTCCGATAAAAAAAACAATTTACAAATATACAATATGCACACACCCAGGACCTAGGTGCAAGATGCCACTAAGATACCAGAGAACTACACAGAGTGTGCATGTCACCAACACTGTGACTTGCAGATCTGTCTATGGGCAAAGGCCATGGCTCAAGAGGTAGCGCTGCACTAGGCACATGTTCAGGAGAGCTAGGGGCACAATATGGACCATGGCTGCCATCAACCCCAAGAGGCAGAGGCATAATCTCAGGGTTACCCTGGTCCCCAATCAGAAATGGGACAAGCAAGCCCTGAGTGCGGCCTGTCTTCCAGGAGTTCCTCCTGTTGGGGCATAGGCACTGGTGCTCTAACTGCTGCAGGAGCCAGATCACATTGTTGTGGCATTGCTCCTCTGAGCGAGCACACACCAGCCGGTTGTTCAGGTATTTGAGGATGCAAAGACCTTCCTGATGCAAGGGTCCTAGGACTACATCCATTCACCTTGTGAATGTGCGGGGGGCTAATGATATGCCTAATGGGAGGACACAGAAAGAACTTGAAGATTCTGCCATCAAAGGCGAACCGGAGGATTGCCCGTCAAACCCTCGGCACAGTCAACATCTTGTAATGTAGGGGTTTGAGCCCTCTCAAAATGGTCTCAGCCTCCAATCTTTTTTTGGGATGAAAAAATAACAGGTATAGAACCCAGCCTGCTGAATGTCCCACTTCACCTCTTTGATGGTCTTCTTTGCCAAGAGAGTGTCGATCCCCTGTAGCCAGAACCCTTCTGTGCTGAGGGTTTGCCACTACTGAAAAGGTGGCTGACCTTGTCAGTGGGGGAAGATGCAGAAACTGAAAACAATAACCCTGAGTCATGGTGTAGACTACCCAGGGATCCACCCCAGGGGTCTACCAGGACAGGCAGCAAGGGGAGGCTGGGTTCCGAGAACTGTCATGACTGAGTGGAGGGCTTAAGCGGCCTCTGGCCATGGCCCTACCCACCCCTCTGACCATGTTTAGCTCTACCACACCTGTTGTCCCCAAATGGAGTCGTAGACCACCTGAGGTCAGGTGGGCTTGAAGGAGCATTTTATTTGCATCTGGCCTGAACATGGTAGATGGCACCACAGGCAGCGTAAGCAAACCGTCCTGGTCCTCACCCTGCAGCTGTGACTGAGACAGCCAGAGGTGGCGCCTCACCATCCAGAGGGAGGCCATGGCCGTGCCAGTTGCCACAGCCTGCTCTTTCATTAGCTTAGCTAGGAGTGAGAACACCTGCTGTACCTCAGCAATCAGGTCACCTCCTGAGGTGTAACAGTCAGGGGGAGGAACCAAACTGTGTTAACTGTTTTCTTCGTCACCCAGATAACCACTCCATTCCCAAGCACACCAAGAACGAAGGCCAGGCAGTAAACAATGAGGGACATGATATGGATTTTCCCCATTCTTGTCTTGAGACGAGCCTGCGATAGAAACATGAAGCATATATTTTTTTTATTTTTCTAAAGCTCAACAACAACAATATCTTCTGATTCAACAGAGCATTGCTTTTGTAAACATATCAGTTTATCAGATGGACAGTAGCTGAACTTTGCCTCTATAAAAACATTTGTCCACTTCTGAAATATAGCAGATGACCCTTGCCTTACAATTTTGATAAATGTCTGTGTTGTTAAATTCCACTGAAGGTGTTTGTCACAGTAGATAATATCAACGTCAGATATCTTTATAGTCTTATGTTTTGTCAACACAACCTCTCATGTCTAACAATGAACCGGCTACATCATGTGGATTGAGCTCATGTTTGCTTGATGTAGGCTAGAGTGTAATTTGTCTTTGTCACTGTTCGAACCGACACCTGAAAATGTGCAGTATTTGCAGTATTTGACATTAATTGAGGGTTAATAAGCAGTTTTGTAGGGCAGGTTTTTTCCTGCATAGAGAATTGTGAGGTGGCCGCCTTCGACAAATTTCGTACCACCTCCCGACGAAAAGTACTTATTTTCTTGGTACTCGGTGGATTTGAATCAATATGGGATGCAATTTGACACCTTTTTTCACACAAAAGGTTGGCAACCCTACAGATGAATATCATCTCTATTACATTCGAGTACACCAAGCTTCTTGAAAAGTTTCCTTAAATTAACGTTACATCCCATTGTGTATGTGTTTTTTTGCAGAAATGTCTCAAACCACAGATTATTTTAAAAAGAGAGTTTGGAAGGAGGAGAATCAGTGCAGAGTGCAGACATCATTTGTTCTTTTAACATGGGAAAAAAAAAATAATTCATGTTACTGACAAGTTACTGTTAATGTGTCCGGACTGAAAGTAGGCTTGGCTCGAACATATTATCCTCATATTAGTATAAGATGAATTTTACAACTCTCTATTACCTACATGTTCTTTCCTGTTTTGCACTCTTAATCAGATTTCCTATGAAATTTTAAAACGCATATGGGATACAACTGCTGTTTTTAGCTGAGAAACAACTTGTCAGTTGAGCAAGCACAGACATTTCCCCAATTCTACTGGCAGTAGTCAAACCAGCAGGTGAATGACTTCCTGTGATGTTACCACATGGAAAGCAACAAAGTACTTTGATGGCATCCAGGTGCTCAGTGCACTACAAGAAATATACATTTCAGAGTGGTCAACGGAAACAATGAGAGACATGGTGTACAAGAGACTTTCAGCTAAGCATTTGGTACCACTTTACAATAAGACTGCCCGTATAAAGGATTAATAATTGGTTCATAATTAAGTTATTAATTTGGTTGTTAACATTTTATAAATCACGAATAAACGTTTATAAACAAGTGATATCACAGTTTTCACAGATTGATTCAAGGTCAGTATTTGGCAAGATCAAGTTAATGCTTACTACTCATTAATCTTACTAATGAAGAAAGAAAGAAAAGAAGCCTTATAGTAACTATTTTAATAAATGGTGACACACACACACACACACTTAGGCTCAGTCATTACCGCAGTGTCATCCCCTCTCTCTCTCCCCAACCTCCCTGTCACTCTCTCACTGTCCAAATGGAGGCAAAAAACTGTCCCCAAAAGAAAAGCTCAAAAACCAACAACAACGGCCTAGAGAGGCATACACTTTTTAAACATGCCTCAGATTTAGTTTATGTCCAATTTGAAAATTTAACCTTTTGGTTGATCTCACATAAGAAGGAAACAAATGTTGCAACATCGATGATTAATGATCTGTGAACAGCATGTGGCACTGTTCATATATATTTCATGTACATTTGATTTTCCAACATGAAGGACAAAATGTTGTAATGCTGTTTCAAAGTTTTGTCCACAGTGGGTGAAATGGTCAATCCTTTATTTATTTAGTTACAGTGATTTGCTAAAATTCTTTGTGGTCATAAACAAAGACTTATATTATTTATTAATTGGCCTCAAAGTACTTCAATTTAAATTTTTACCAATACAATAGCATCAATGTTTTTAAATGTATAATGTAAACTCTCCCCAGGATACCTATATCCTCAAATTTCTAAAACAACATTAAGGACATGGCCTCAGTGTTTTCAGTGTTAGCTGCTTCACTTATTAGTTTATCTGCAAAAGTCTGATACTGAACTTCTTACCCGAGGCACATCTGTCCTCTTCATACTCCACATAGCAGAGTCTCTGTCCTGCAGGAAACAGCAAAGGAGAAGTTACTAAGCAACCAAACAGCATGAATTGTGGGTTGTTGAGATGAGTACCTGAGAAAGAGCTGGAACTGTGACTTCTGAAGTTAACCAACGATCCTGCTGCATAATGTAGAGTGAACCAATGTTTGCTTGAGGTTAAGTGTAATTGCTCTGCGTTGACTGTATGAATCGACATTTGAACATGTAGGCTACACATTTTAATGTTCCTTATCTTCACTCTGTGTAACATTACAAGGAAGTCTGAACACCATCTATTATCAATTGAGGGTTTTATAAAATAGTAGGATATTTGCTGCAGTCTACTTGAAAGCTGGACACACAGACTATGCTGCCTCTGACGAGAAAAGGTCTGAAGTAAAAATATATCTTTTTCTAACATAACATTTGAATTTTAGTGTAATTTCACAGATTTAGATCAATGGTATGTTCCTTTCTGTTAAAGTCCTGTTTCACAGTCTTAATCAGATTTCCTCTGAAATTGAGAAACACATATGAAGTGTTTCTACCTTTAGTGTGCAGAAGAGTTATCAGTTTCAAATATGTTTCATACAAAGGTAGCCACAAATGTTACAACTACAAATTATGTGAGAATAAGAGTTTGAAAGAATTTTTCCCCATGAATCAAGAGATTAAAATATACATCTGTTTCAAAATAGCACATTTAATAAAAGATAAATATAAGATACATGTGAAACACATATATTTCATATACAGTATATATATGACATTATATGACATATATACATTTGAAAAAGTGTATCTTTATCTTACATTCATGCCAACAAGTTATCATAAAAACTATTGTGTCCAAACTATTAAACTAATAAAATGACAAAACAAAACAAACAAAAACACATTTATTATAAGTGTTACTTAATGGAACTCATCAGAAGAACAGGACATAATGGGAAAGCTGTTAAAAAATGCTACATTTGTATGAAAATTATTTCCTGTATACAGTTACAGTATTTGTTTATTCATGTCGTGAACAACCTTATACCTGAACATCAGAAACTGACATGTCTTTACTCCGACTGGTGACCGTTAAGTTTGTGTGAGTATATGAGTGAGAAACCTCTTCCTGGAAGGCAGTCTCCAATATTTTCAGGATGGATTTGCGAACTAAGTCCTTAAAATCTTGGCCCATGAACACATACAGCAGTGGGTTCAGACAACTGTTGAGAAAGGCCAAGCTGGTGGTTATAGGCAGACCAATAGAGAGGACATAGCCGGATGTTTTAGAACGCGTGTGATGATGCAACTCTAATAGACGCATGATGTGAAAAGGAGTCCAGCACAGGAAAAAAGTGGTGATAACAGCAGCGATGATCTTAAAGGGGCGACTCGACTTGCTGGCCAGGGTGCGGTTCCTCCTGAGACGAAGGATTATCACAGTGTAACAGGAGACAATGACAGTGAAGGGAACAACAAATCCCAGGAGGAAGTTGGTGATGGCCATGGCCTGATAACGAAACTGTTCTGTTTCAGAATCATCAGAAAGAACAAAGTTGTTGAAGCAGAGGGTGGTGTTATCACTATACGTAAAAGTATCCCTGAAGACAAAGTATGGAGCACTGAGAATCAGAGCCAGTAACCAAACACCTAGACTCACATAAGACGCCTTGCGTATATTTCTGTGGTTCTGGGCCCAGACAGGCCACACCACAGACACACATCTGTCCACACTGATCACCATCAGGATGTAGACACTGGCAAACATTTTCAGAAAGGTTAAGGTGGAATTAACTCTACATATGAAGTTGCCGAAAGGCCAGTGGAAATCCATGGCTGTGTATGTCACTCTCAGGGGGAGGAATGCTGTGAAGAGGAAGTCGGCCACAGCAAGGTTGAGGAACCAAACTGTGTTAACTGTTTTCTTCATCTTGAACCCGGTCACCCAGATAACCACTCCATTCCCGAGCACACCAAGAACGAAGGCCAGGCAGTAAACAACGACAGACATGATGTTGAGAGACTTTCTCAACTTAGCAGAATAGTCATTGTACATGTCGTCATAGTTGATGTCATAAAAGGAGTCATTTCCATCATATAAATCTGTTGTATTGATTTTCTCCATTCTTGGCTTGAAACCAGCCTGCGATAGAAACAAGAAATATGATAATATATATATTTTACATATACAACAATATCTTCTGATTCAACAGAGCATTGCTTTTGTAAACATATCAATTTATCAGATGGACAGTAGCTGAACTGTGCCTCTATAAAAACATTTGTCCACTTCTGAAATATAGCAGATGACCTTTGCCTTACAATTATGATTGATGTCTGTGTTGTTAAATTCCACTGAAGGTGTTTGTCACAGTAGATAAAATCAACATCAGATATCTTTATAGTCTTATGTTTTGTCAATACAACACCTTCAGATTAATCTCAAATTCATGCAAATTCAAAGGATAATATATAACAACGATACCTTTCTCAAAGTTTCTTTGTCAGATGAAGATGTAGAGCAGAAGTGACTCCGGTCAAACTCTGTCTGGTTAATAAAATCTGTGTGTCCTGAAGACTCATACGTGTCAAGTCACCACCACATTGAGGCGGGACCACATGTAACACAGCAATTCTGCGACAGTTGTATGTAAGTCCCTAAATTGTATGAGTTTAAAGTTTGTAATTGAGATCTGTTAGATAGAAAACTCAACAGATCCTAGCTGTACTGACCCTTGAATTGAAAACCACGTTTTAAAAAATATTTGGTGTGAAGTGAATTTTTTAAGCCCAACCTGCATGAATACCTCAGCTACTGAGAAAGAGCTGGTGCTGTGACTTCTCATGTCTAACAATGAACCGGCTACATCATGTGGATTGAGCTCATGTTTGCTTGATGTAGGCTAGAGTGTAATTTGTCTTTGTTACTGTTTGAACCAACATCTGGACATGTACGGTATTTGCAGTATTTGACATTATTTGAGGTTTAATAAGCAGTTTTGTAGGCGGCTCCCTCTTTGTCACTGTCCACATGACACTTACAAAATGTTTACTTTGTAGATCCAAGCCAAATAGATAGTAAGAAGACATCTTTGTCGAACATATTATCCTCATATTAGTATAAGGTGAATTTCACAAGTCTCTATATCTACATGTTCTTTCCGGTTTTGCACTCTTAATCAGATTCCCAATGAAATTTTGAAACCATATGAGATAACAACTGCTGTTTTTAGCTGAGAACAACTTGTGAGTTGAGCAAGCACAGACGTTTTCAATTCTACTGGCAGTACTCTATATACAGTTTTTGCCCGTTGCTTGAACACATTTGCCAAAACTCTTGCTCATTGTGCCAAACTCTACACACAAGTAAACATGACACAAACTGGGAAATATACCATTCACATCTGTGTCAAATTGAAACTCTACTATCAAAACCTAAACTCTGCTATCAAAACACCAACAATCCTTTGTCAAAATGTAACTCTGATGACAAAATGACACACACTTGCATCATATGCATACACTTTACAGATAGGGGGAAACACCTAGTCTACTTATATAAAACACTGCAGTCTTTGATTTTCACTGTTTATTCAGAAGGCACATTTTCAGGAGGACATTTTCAAACAACCAAAAAACAAAATAGGCCTACTTCAGTATTGTAACATTGCAGCACACTGTAATTGCAGTAACATGAATTCAGATAAAGCAAAAAAAAGAAAAAAAAAGAAAAAAACACTAATACTGTAACAGAAAATATGGCAATTGTGCATACATGGGCTCATGGATCCGCGTCTGTTGGGGTCTGGCACAGGACCTCATTGACATAGCAAGCAATGTCTTCTCCGCTAGCACCGGGAAAATATCCCTTGCATGTCGAAACAATCATGGTTTGCTGGTCACTGAATGTCGCCACAGGCCTGTTCCATTGCCTGCAGAAGATGCATGCGGGCATGTGGTTGGCGGTCAAATACACGCCATCTCAAGCCGAAAGAATTCCTCTATAGGGTTTAAAAATGGTGAGTAAGGGGCAAGTATAACTTCAAATTGGATTGTGGTTGGTGAACCGGCCTGGACCAGAGCAGCTGTTGGAACTGACATTATCCCATACCAACAACCTGGGCTGATTTGGTCTGTTCTGTAAACTTATATGGAGAGCATTAGAAATGTGAGTATATGTTGGGTATTGTATGGACCTAGTTTTGCATGATGATGCAGAAGCCTCTGAAGGTTATGGCGGCACACAATGTGATTTCCTGCCGCGCTGCCCCGGGACGTGCACAATTGCCCTTTGGCCAATTACATTACGACCCCGTTGTCTTATTTTGCTCAGGTCGAATCCAGCTTCATCAATGGAAACGAATTCATGAGACTGTGCAGCTCCATCCATGGCCAAGATTCTCTGTAACAAAAAAAACAAAACATATTACTACAGTGCTACACATACAGAACCCCCACCCCATCACACAGGTACCTGTGTAGCTCTCCGAATGGATCCATGTGGTACTGATATGGTACATATTCAGCTGCTACTGGATTTCACCAATACTGTATTGTAAATGTAAAGGACAGTTACACTTACCCGTACATATTCACATTGAAGTCCTTTGACCCTGACACTGTTCCTCTCAAATGGGACCCTGTAGAGCTGCTTCATGGTGATGTTGTGTTTTCCCAAGATGCGTCTGATGGTGGTGATGCTCACATGGTTTATGTTGTAGAACACTTGCCTGTCTGCAAGTACTTTCTGTCGTAGCTGGTGGAGACGGATGGCATTGTCTGCCCTCACTAGGTCAACAACGGCAAGTTCCTGCTGTTGTGTGAACAGGCGTTGGCGTCCTCCCCCAGAAGGTCTTCTAGTCATTCTAGAGAAATACAACCACAAATTGTCATTGGTTTGCTTCTTTTTCTTACAGTACTATATATACTGTACTTTACTGTATATACTGTATCATCCACTGTACTGAAACATCTCAATATAAGTAATCATGGTATGTTTCACAAAAACTACCACTTTGGCTGCAAAAGGAGCATTAGCACCCTGCAATACCCTGTACACGTGATGTGGTAATGTGATATACTGTAGCACAGTACTGTAAATACCATCAGAGTAGAGTAGAAGGTAGAGAGGTGAAGACATACCTGTT